CAAATTCCTATTTGAAATTTGGCAAACCAGCAATAATTCGCCCCAGGTACTGATCACCAGCACGTTCGTAGTGAATGTACCGCTCCAGTACGTGCCCCAAGGTCCAGCCACAACGCAAACACACACTCGCCATTGACGGTCCCGACGTACTGCCAGAGCAAGCAAACGTAGCGACACCCTTGCGGATCGAATGTGTCCCAATGGAATCGGCCACCGAGTCAAACGACAACCTTAACACACGACCCAGTGCTTTACCAAAGCGGTCACGTTGGGCACCACCAGGAAAGAGCGGTCCGGGGCCCAATTGAGGATGACTGGCCAAATATACACCCAGAGCAAGGAACACACACGTTGATGGTTTGAAAGGATTGGCATACATGTGACGAGGATCGCGACTTTTGTCACCAGCTTGGTCGGTCTTGCTTTTGTGAAACACCACCCCAATAGAATCTTCCTCAAACGAGAGGTGTTCGAGGTGGACAGTTTGAGTCGACATGGACCGACACATGAGATTCCAAGACATTGTTAGAAAGAGGTGAGAAAAGCCACCGTCAAGCAAGCGAACGGTGTCACCGCACAAAGTCTCATACATGCTATACCCCATCGGGCGCTTCCCGGATTCCTTGATCCCACCAGTTTGCGTGTGCTCGGCGTGATGCCGACGCAATCCTAAGCACAGTTAGTCTCATCATCCCGAGCTTGGCATACCTTGGAACAGATCTTTCATGTCGCCGTCATACTCAACTGGGAGCGGGACATTTTCCCGCTTGTACAGGTCCTTTATCGCTGAGCGGTAGCTGGCAAGCGTGCCGGGTTTGTTCGACGTGCACTGGTATTGCCATTGAATGAATGCGAGAAAATCGGAGTACTGGAATACTGTCAAGTCGATGGCTCCGTCATGCTTAAGCATGATGGGGCTGCCGTGGGCCATGATCCACTTCTTCACCTGGTTCAGCCCACTCTTGTACCCAGCCTTAGTGGACCTGGAGACTCGCATTTCACGGATCTCCTCGAGCGTCGAGGCTTGTCGTGGGTTCGATGACATTGTCACGTTTTGTAATGTGAACAGTTTCTTCCAATAGGATGTCCTTCCTTTCAGCTCGACACGTGTCGTGCAAATTCGACATAGCATGGAACATGTAAAACATCTTGAAAATACTATTGGAGTCCCCTCGAATCCAGGAAGAAATGGAATTTGCACGACTTGGGTCGTGCAGAAAGCCGTGTAACCGGATGCCAGTCGTGCAAACACCGTTTTATGTTCGTTCGAGAATCTCGGTCGATGGTGTCGAAAAAGTCAATTGGATGACGTTTATCCGGATACACGCCATCCTATATCCAGGATGAAACGCCGGAAGATGAACCATGACCGGGAAGCACGACGCGACAATCGAAGGAAAAGCACAAGCATTGTGGTGGAGGTGGATGCCGAGGAATCGGTCCATGTCATAGAGATGGAGGGCAAGTCTCCTGCGAAACTGCTTTCGTCTGTCGACCCTGTCTTGCCGAGGATCCTGCGCACGACGGAGAAAGACAAAAAGCCTCATGACGTGTGGAGCCACACACGCATGATCGTGCTCTTCGCATGCGCGGCAGAGGCTATCACGACATGCTTTACCCCAGAATGGGTGCATGAGCCGACGGGGATCAACGTCAGTGCGACGTTGTTAAACGTCTTAGGCCCATTCATGGAGGGTGTTGCACAGCATCTCCAGGAGACGACCGCGCATCCTGAATGGAAGCGGGCATGTTACTACTTTCGCTCAGTCTTCTTGGGGTATGGGTTGCTCTATGCGTACGATCTCCCCTGCCTCACAGCTTCCTGTCGTAGCGTGTTCACATCGTACTGTTACATGGTGGACCACGCCGGGGATTTGGTCGGGAAGAACCCGTTCATCGGTCCATTATACATCATTTCATCGCTCTGTTACGCCTGTGTGGCATTTCGCATGGGCCAGACCTTCATGCGCCTGTTCTTGGCTAATATCTTCCAACCTGACAAGCGACTTCCCAGCTCCATCGTGGGCTGGGGACTTACTGCGTTCATCTTGGTTGTGCTTGTAGTGGCGATCGCTGGCCCCCCCGGTTTTGTTCGGTAGGTCCAATTTCCTCCCTGTCTGTGCGCCCATGTAAATGTTTGAATGCTGCAGAGACCCTAACGACGCACAATTCCTTGGACCTATCGCTGTGAACGACGGGTTGGAACTGATCCTGGGCATGGCCATGTCAATTACAGCCACATGGCTTGCTTCCTTTGTGTCTGTCGGCAACTACGATGGCTCGATCGACTGGGGGACGTGGCGTTGTAACTTGGCGTCAGTGATCCTCACGGTTTTGGCGTATGGCGTCCATTACATCCTGCCTGGAGTTGCGCACAACGTCGCAGTCAAGAAGTTTGTTTCGTCTTTCTGTGGCTCCCTTTCTGGCTTCTCCGCCACCATAGCTGCCACCATGGTACGCCCTGTAATTCTTTTTGTTTTACTATTCGAGCACTGCTGGCTTGCATAGGTGCTGGCGGACCAAGGCAAACGACCTGTCGCGATGGCAAATCTCGGCCTCAACATCGTCACGGCGCTAGCATTCGTACCATATTTACGAGCATAAGAGGACATCCTCATGTTTTGTGCAATCCGACCTTTCAGCGTCGAAACGATGGCGCAAGTCGAAATCGTTGTCATGTGGGGTTGGAGTAGCAAGAAGGTGCGCTCACCGCGTTCCTAAGGAGGCACAGATTGCTTGACGACGTGAATGGACTGAAAAACTAGTATTGGATGCGTCATTATTGGATGTAGTTGTTGATCACGACGTTGTCATTGTCCTTGGCCAACACGTTGTCCAGGTCGTTCCACCATTGGGGCAACAGCCCTTCCGAGATGAGGCGGAACCAAGGCGAAATGAGCATGCTCGGGTCGTTCAAGACGTTTTCCAGCTCGTCGCGAGCAACGTAGCGCACTTCCGCCACTTCATTTTCGTTGAGCTCGTACTTGACGTCGGCACGAACGAGGAGGATGTGGTCGACTTCGTATTCGCTCCAGTTTTCGTCGTACGGGGCGCGGTACAGCACCTTGGTGAGGAATTTGAATTGTTCAGGCTGGAACGTGTCCGTCTTGATGCCGAGTTCGTGCTCGAGCTTGCGGATCGCCGCGCGCTTGACACCCAAGTGATTCTTTTCCTCAAGTTCTTCGGGAAAGTACAAAGGGTGGCTGCAGCACGTGTTCGCCCAGAAGCTGGGGAAAGTGATCTTCTCGGCTGCGCGCTTTTGGATGAGCAACTGGTTGTCCGAGTTAAACAGAAACACGCTGAATGCGCGGTGCAGCACGCCATCCTTGAAGTGCGAGTCCTTCTTGGAGATCGGGCCGACAACGTTGTCTTGTTCGTCGACTTGAATCACCATTTCTTCCATCAACTTGACTTGGACTTCGTCCGCCGACGCGATCACAGAGTCGTATGATGTAGAGACCATGAAAGCAAGGTGATGACGCGGCAGTAGGTTTGCTAGTGACCTCCGCTGAACATGGAGCATGCGTGAGCCGTCTGTTTACTGGCAGGGACATGTAGTCAATTGTTCTCCTTATATAATGTATTTGAACTAAAAATAGTGTGATGTAGACAGCATTCCGCCCTAAAATTGTACTTTATAAAGTAATTCAAATAAAGACACCAGGCTAAACTTCAAAACGCGTTTTTTCGCAGCTACAACTCCAACAGCTTGTCATATATAAACCTCAAGATATACTGGTCGTTTGTACCGTCATACTATACTGTAAGTTACCTCAAGCAATACATCGTCTTGCCCATGGTTGGCCAAATATGTATACCGTGTAGCGTATATTATTCGAGACATCCTTTTTATTGTGGACACTCTTCGAATTAATATTTATAGTGCACAAGAATTTATCAAACTCTGCAATACAACCTTCCCGCCTGAATATACCTCTTATATTCCATAATACCTCTATCTCTGTATAGAATATTAATTTATAGAGGTACAATTAATTTGGAGAGGTTTTCCCCGCGCTTTAAATGACCCGCCAGTTTTGAAGGCACACCGCCCTTGCCATGGAGGCTGACACGGTTGAGCCAAGTGCTCGACGGGTATCACTTGGCAGGCCCGTGTTCAAGCATGGACGGAAAGCAATGCCGCGTCAGTTCAAGAACAAGACTGTGGACTACAAGCATAGGTTGGACGTTATCAATCGAGTGTCATCTATTGGCATGACTGCCTTTCTGGATGCATACTGTGCTAGAAGTTCGTTGACAGAGCGTGAAAGCACGCGGAAGAAAGTGTACATGTGGATCAGAGCTAAAGATCGCATTGAACGCATAGCCAAGTGTGCCACCACGGGCAAGTACATGACTGTTCGTGCACGAGGCACCGGGACGACGTTGCCCTTTGATGTCGAAGAGCAGCTTGCGCGTTGGGTCCTTGGAATGCGGAAAGACGGCATCCCTGTGACCTATGCCATGCTGCGCATGATGGCCTTGGAGGCCGCCATAGACGTTGGGCTTTCCGAAGACGAGTTCAAGGCCGGCTGGCACTGGATCAAGGGTTTCAAGAAACGGCACGACCTGACCTTCCGCACCAAGACGAGGATTGG